CTCCGGCGAAGAAGAAGACAGCCCAGAGTCTCTTTCGTTGCAGCTCTCACTGTTACGAAATTCTTCCTGCTTATCCAAGAATGGCAAGATCTTGGAGATCATGTACTCCAGTGTTTCTCAACCTGGGCATCTTGAAGATGGGTGGACTTCAACCCCAAGATTCCCCCAGCCAGCATGGGAGTTGAAGTCCACACATCTTCAAGTTGCCAAGGTTGAGAAACGCTGCTTTAGACGTTAAGCCCGGAAGGAATTTTATATAACGGATGGTTGCAAAACATGCCATTCTTCTAATAACCAAGTCTAGAAGATTGATTGATGGACTCTGGGCGGCTTACGAAATCTAAAAGGAAATACCAAGGCATAACTATTGGAAGGAAAAAGTTGAAAAATTGCATTTTAAGGCACAAATGCAACGTTGGAGGGAGCCTAACCCGATGCTCTTGAAAAGTCGAATGGGGATGATGGGTGCCGAAGTCCAATTTTCTGAATTCCATCTAGACGATCGCACTGTACAGATTGCAAAGGAGCGTTATTCCAACGGGATGCGGCCTCGTTTCTTCCAGCCTTTCTAATCCCGTTGCGGTAGCGTCGTGGAGTTCATTCCAGTTCTCCTTCGCCTCTTAGTACTTACGCGCTTCCCCTCCCGCCTCCAAGTGTTGATGCCAATCACTTTGTAAAAATCTTCCATGCGACTTTGTAAAACACCCCAACACCCGATTCCCATCCATTTCAGGACAACAAAATCTCCCAAAGGAAATCTATAGGCCTGGTGGCGGAAGAGCCACTTAACTCTGCTTTCACGGATCGGTTTTATTTGAAGCCCCCTGTCCCATGGGTACCTTTTTAAAAAATCCAATGGCTTCTATTGACTGGAACGAAAAAGCACCAAGGTGGCCAACGATTTCTTGCACTCTTATGTCCCAGGTAGTAAATGTCTGAAACTCTGGATCATCTTTTTTGAGTCATACCCAAGTAAGCGAGAATCGGAAAATGTTTCGGGCAAGGACCCATATTTGAAGTTTAGTACGCATGTTGTAGGTACGCTCACAAAACAGCTGACCCGGGGGGGTGACTTGCCCGTTTCCAAAATGGGTGCACCCACCCAATGCTTGTTATTCTCAAAGAAGCCTTATAGGGCCCATAAGCATTCTTAGAAATAAATATCAACGCAGTGTTTAAATTCAACAAATTTAAAGCAGTATTTCTCAACCTCAACAACTTTAAGATGTGTGGACTTCAACTCCCAGAATTCCACAAACACTGGGTGGGGAATCCTGGGAGTTGAAGTCCACAAAGGCTGGCCAGGGAATTCTGGGAGTTGAAGTCCACCCATCTTAAAGTGGCCAAGTTTGAAAAATACTGCTTTAAGGCATGCTTTTATTTTAAACTGAAATGTTTATTTAAAGATTCAGGCAATGCAGGGCACCACCAAGTGAGGGAGGGGCATGGAGCGGGGGGGTCAAAACATTGAGGATGGCCATGTCCACGTGATTGAAGCTCTGCCTGTTTTTTACATGCACGCACCCCACGTAAAAAGGGGGCAAGCTTGGATTGCATGGTTGCAGCTGCCATTTTGACTTTTTTGACACCCTCCCCCCCTTGTCCCTGGCTACCTGCATCCACTGCTGAAGTGGTTTCAGCTTAACTGAAATGTAGAAGAAAAAATATGAATGTTGGTTCCAACAAAATTTAAGCATCCATTTTTATTTTACCCCATCAAATGCTTATCCTCCCTTTCTCCCAGACAAGAGCAATGCCTCCTCATTCTTCCTCTATTTTTCCTTCCTCTAAGGCAGTGTTTTTCAACCTTGGCAACTTTAAGATGTGTGGACTTCAACTCCCAGAAT